GAGAATACTATTATATCAAAATCATTTCACGTCTTCTCATTAGTCTATAGGTTGCTTCCCGATGGTAGGAACGGCGACCCTTCTTTTATTGCAACTACATTTAAATTACTTTCATTTCTTATAACATTCCAAATACTTATTTGCGTTTTCCCCTTATGGCTGATCACTGATGCAGGAGTAATGATCAAAAAGAACGTGTGCAATTAGCTCACAAATTTTTTAACATTCCTCTTTCTAATTAGCAGTTAAGGTTCGAATCCAAAATCTTTCGAATGTTGTGAGCATAAATTATCAAAATAAATTCCAATTATTTTGATAATTTCAGAATCCATGGCAATTGATGGCAAAATGTAACGTCCAATCAAAATGATCTTATTACCAATTTTAAATAATCGGTTGGAAAAATAATTAATTGGTAAAGCATCCGAAATAATTTCTTAAACATATACCCGTCCCCTACAAATATCTATAATTAATTGAAGTCATTATGTAATTTAACATAACAATTTTATACTCCCGAAAAAAAAGTTACTTATTTCTCATCATTTTATAGTTTCCATATTTTTATGGTAGAGTTGTAAATGCAGATTATAATCAAACATGAATTTTTTAATAAAAATAAAATTAATTAAGAAGATGAGAAGTAATAAATAAGTAATAATTTTAATATAACAAAAAAAAAATATTAAATATGAAAAAAAAAACTGGAGATTTTAAAAAACAATTGAATACTTTCAATTCTTAGAAATTCTGTTTTCAACATTTTCTGAATCACAAGGGCTTGTTAAATTTTATTTTTTATTATAATTTTTTTTTTATCCTTCATCCAGATAAACTAATAAAAATGGCATCAAATAACACCTGATTAATGCACTTAAAAATTATATAAAAAATGAATGGAATAAAGATGGAAACAGCACTCTATACTACGCATTTATGAGAGTCATTTATGCAAAAAGTGAAAAAAAATAAACCAAGACTATACGCTCCTCAATTCAATATTAAGTAACCAACAGCGTAACTAATATTTAAATGAAAACGAGAAACATTTCATGAATCAGAGGAGATACAAACATAATTATGGAAACATTTTTCATACTTTATCATCGAAATATACTTCATAATTTTTATCTTGATTAACTGACTGACCCACGGCCAATATTTATCTTTAGTAGCTACACAATTTTTTTTTTTTTTTTAATAATTTTTTTCGTCTTTTCTTTTCAAAGGAATCACTATATCTCTCTTGATTAACAATCTCTTCTCTCTATATACACTTCATATAATCATAATGTTATATAATATATACAATACTGTTATACAAAATTATATGTATCATTTATTTTAAAATATACATACATACATTAACTGTGATATTTACAAGAAATTTAAAAAAAAACACTGAAATCAAGATTTTTTCAATTTGATTTCATTTTATTTGCGGTAGTCAGATTTCTTGTAAAATAAGAACATTATTTTAACAATCACATTCAAAACGAAAAAATAAAATAAGAACAGCAAAAACGGGACCCCAATCATTGGTAATAATACCATGTACACTGCTCTCTTTATAGTATTGCAAAAATAATTCTGTTGTCCGGTAGCCATGATCAATGTAAACTACAATATTACACACTTGGAATATAACAGTTAATAAGTATTCATAATATAAAAGAATATTTCTCTTATTCGACTCTGAGTTACACAAAATAAAAAAAAAACAAAAGTTGCCTACATATATGCAATGGGTACTTACACTAAAGTACGAACGCATACATAAATCTACACAATCTCAATTTGTGAATTTAAATTTTATGATACCTTTTCAATTAAACGCATTAAAAATAATTTTCATACTTATATACTTGTGTTTAATGTGGATCTAAATTTAAACGGGTGATTTTGTAAACTTCTCCTTTTTAAATTTAAGGGAAAAAAACAGAAAAATTGCAAATCTACAAATCGGGCCACTGCTGCGTACAAGTCGTGCAGTATAATAAAAATTACACATTTAATATTTCTTTTCAAAACCGAAATCAGTAGAAAACGTTCCAGATTTCTTGTACACAGGAAAATAATGTGAAAACGTCAAATTGCGTGGCCCCGGCAGCTAATTGGTAGGTCAAAACCACGAATTTATTTTCCATACTCAGACGAGCAGTTCATTTTACAATAATGTTTATTAAGTATGTTATAATAAATTGAAGATTCTGTTCGGGTGCCAGCATCAAACTGAACCGATTTGGGATTTGGAAAACTATGAAAAATCACACATCAAATGACTGTAATAAAATCACCCAGTATGTTTATTTATAGCATGATTGCTGAATTTGGTTTCTTAATTGTTTAGTTGTTGGTTCTAATATAGGTAGATTTTTAAGTAGTAAACATGTTCTACCTATAAATACATATATATTTATCGAAGTTTACAAGTAAAAAGATATTATTGCAAAATTATACGAAGGTGATCAATTTTCTAGAATAAATCTTTAAGTGCTAACTACATGACAACAACAAAGTGTTCGCGGTATGAAACACATTAATTTTAGTATGATTTTTTTTTTTAATTTTTTATTTACTCTTATTCTTTTTTTCGTTTCCTTTATGTTTTATGAAAATATAAAAAGTTTACTCTGTTAATTATAGGATATTGTGCTAACATTTGATTTATTGTACGGAATGTACATGATTGATACACGTAATAAGTGCAGTTGAAAATTTACCCACGATTTACCCATGAATTATCCATTAATGGCGTTTTGTCAAATTAGTCATAATATTTGGCAAGTTCAAAAGATTTTGCTCTACTTTTTTTACTCAATACTTTTAATTTCAACTGATTACTAACGGTAAGCAATGGTCATAACACCCTTATAAAAGTACCATAAACCTAATATAAAGGTGCAAGAGAGAAAAAAGCGACGAAGAAGGGAAATTAAGTTAAAAGAAGCAAATTTTTATGAAAAAAAACAACAATGTGTTTTCTTAATATACACATATTCGCATACATATATACAAATATCATTTAATTTCATTCAGAGATTTCCAAAAAATAAAAAATATAAAAAAAGTTACAATAATAATAATCGAAAGTTGAAAAACATTGAATCAAACATTGGGTAACCGATGTAATCTACGGCAATTTTTATGATAAAAACATAACATGTATACCGTATGTATTTTAAATGTATATACTCGTAATATAGTGAACGATAGTAACACCACATGCGACGATATTTTGCAAATATTTTGTTCTCAGTAGCTGCCCTTTGCACTCGTTCTTTTTTTTTTTAAATAAATGTGGCAAGAAAGACACCTACATAATTGTATATAATGCATATTATAGTGTGTTCCTTATAAGATCTTGCATATTATATAGAAAAGAAAATGAGAGAAAAAATATTATAAATCGAAAGCGCAAATTTTTTTTTTGAAAATTAAAGATGCTACCATAAAAGTTATAAAATTTAAAGGTAAAAGTGCGTTGTATTAATTACGTAAAACAGTTCTGTAGTTGAATTGCGGAGCGTATTTTAAATAATATTAAATAAAATTAATTGAACGAACTATAAATATTAAAATGATTTTCGTTTTCTCTCTTTCATTCCTTTGGAGAATTTACGCATTCTACGCATTCCTGTTTTATTTGCCATCCCTGTTATATGTAATTTCGAGAGAAATAAGGTGCAGTACATACATAGCAAATGCAACTCTCATCTGGTGTCAACCAAACCATCTTCGGTTTACTCTGTTTTCGTTACGCTATGTTATTCTCTGAAAGTTGCGTCTTAGGAATGTGAATTATTATTGATTTCGAATTCTCAAAATCTTCTGAATATGTCAAAATGCGTCTATTTGTTCATTCAGAATATTACTGTCACTGAATGAATAAACGTAAACAATCTCAGAAAATGAACGTTACTTCCTTATTATATGCCCCAGGCAATCATAACCTCCAATACAATTTTAGTATAACCGGACTGACTAAAATGTAATTTGCAAAAATTATTAATGTAAAATTTCCTAAATTAATTGTATAACATAAATGGATACAATAATTTTACTCCAATCTCACATCTAAATTTGAAAAATAAGAAAACAAGGAAAATCGAGGAAAAAATATGAGACCCATTTTATGTTTTATAAATAATATCAGTTCAACTATGGTTTTAAATCTTAAATGCATTTTACGTTGATCTTTTAAAAATTTTATTTATTTTTTTTTTGGTTTTTTTTTATATCGTACTCGTATGTGTAATATTTACAAGAAAATTTCAATAGGCATTTAAAAAAAAAGGACGATTCAAATGAAATTCAGTTGCAAATAGCTACTGGGTAATAAAATATACAATATATTATGAATAATAAATATTGTAAATTATTTTAAATAAAAGGTAAATAAAGTACAATTTATAAATTTAATTTGTTTTTTTTTATATTTTTTTTCTTATTATTCATCTTTTAATGAAATACAACCTACGCGCGTATTGTACTACAGTACACATAAAAAAAATTACATAGGAAAATTATAATGTAAGTACCTTAAGTATAATAAAAAAGGAGTAGAAAAATTAATATGAAAAAACACTGATGATCTATGATTAAATTTGAAAGATAAAAGAAAATAAATAAATAAACAACCATTTTGACATATCAATATTTTTATAAGACAACTAACATATTATATAATAATCGAACAAAATGGCCCTTTTCTTAATTTATTCATTTACTTACATAATGTAATGACATTAAATATACAATCACATAATGTCATAGAATAGAGAGAGATTTCATTGACAATTCTTATAATTAATGAGAGCAATCATTATAAATTTGTTTTTGCTTTTAATTTATTTACAACTATTTTATATATAATTTTAGGATATTAAAATGAATACACGATTGTAATTTAATACATTTAAAATATTATTTAATATTTTTAATATTGATTTGAAATTATACAGCTAAACTATTTCTATACGCCATTTTATTTTTTTTAGGCGAATTATGGGATTGCAAAAATGTAATAATTATTATTACTCCAAATTACTCCGTAAGAGAAGATGAGAGGAATTCATAAAGGGATTGCTGTTATCAGATAATAAAAAAGTTAAGCCATCTACCGGTCATCAGCATGCTTGCTCTTCTCAGTTACTCCTATATGATAATGAGGCTAGTAAACAAACGTGCTATTGCGAGCGTATTATGATCAAAGTGCAGCTACATGTTTTGGATATTATGTCTCCTCCTATTAACACACTCTATTCGATATAAACACTAATAATAGTGCGCCTACTATAGTAACGTTGGTAATAATATGGACGGTGACACCAGTAAATTATAATAATGGCTGAGAATCCTATAGAGGCAAATGGGGGTTGTGTTGGGATTTACATTAGAAGTGGGTCAAGAAATTACATATTACGGTTGAGAAGAATCACGTGAAAATTGTCAGGGCATCTTTATAGGGGTCATTGCCGAATTGCGCCTGAAGGTTTTGTGAAAGTTGCAAGAAAATTTAGATTCACATTTTCGTAGAAATTGAAGCCTTGACCCACAATAGAAATAAGCTGTCGTACCATACCCCCTTATGGAACAGGAGCTATACACATTTGATTTTCGCAAGATATTCGAATTTATTAGAGGTATGAGACTCGATGGAAAGCTTAAGACGAAGGAAGTTGTTGTTTCATTAGAGTTTCAAAAAATGCTCAATTAAAAAATGAAGCGACTACACAATCATACTAAAAAATTGGCATAAATTTTCTCGATAAAACTACCATAAACACTTGCACGCTTACAATATGAAGATGAAAAATACATTTTTTTTTTTTTTTTTTTTGCAAATTACTTTTTAAGTACAATTTTTATGAGTATTATACATAAAGTACTTGTCTTATACTAATTTTATATCCTTATTTCATCTTTCCAAAATTTCTTTATTATTTTATACATTTATAACAAAGAAGACTAGCAACAGAATATTACAAATTATTAATCAAAATTTACCTAAAATTCTATTTTAAATCAGAATCATTAGGATTTCCGTTCCGCTCCCTTATACACAAACACAGCCTTCATAACTTGTATATACATAATATAATTCCAAAGAAACAATCAGCAGGGAAGGAAGTATTAAAAAATAAGAACAGGAAAACATTTATAAGAAAAAAAATTAACCGTATATGAGAAATCCTTGAATTTGTTTCTCACTTTTTTTTCAAAAATTATTTAATGTCGAACATTTATCATCACCGTTTATAAATTATTATTCATTTAAATGAGCGACATAAGAAAAAAAGGTGTTTAAAAAAAATAAAAACAATCCAAAAAAAAAAACATGTTTTGTCCCCATTCTTACTTTTAGGCAACACGTAAAAATTGTTTGCATGTGAATCCCAAAACCATATAAAAAATTAAGAACTGATTATAAGAAATAAGGAGAGAGAGAGAGAGATCTTTAAGAAACTTTAAGAAATTCGGTTCTTCATTTTTTTTAATATTACAAGTATTTGGTGTCATATCTCGCGTGCCGAAAACAATTTTCTTCTACTATACCAAAAACAAAAACATAAGAACAAAATTTATAGATACAAAACATAACACCGTAATATATACGTGCCGGCGTTTGATGTTCTATACTTTTTAAATCTCAAACATTTTACATACTAGTTCATATAGCTAGTATACTACATATATTGTATCAAAGGAAATGCGGATGAGAAAGAAACGAGTTGTATTGTAAATAGTATATGCATGTGCACATATTTCTCTGAATTTATGTCAAAATTTCAACATATCTCAAAATTTTTGACATCTGTCAAAATCTTGACGGTTTCCAAAAATTGTACACGCAAAATTTAGTGTCCTCAGAACGCCTGCCCCAATGGCAATATCCCAGTGGCAATACCCAAATGCCAATACCCCAATGCCAATGCCCCAATGAATATACTCCAACGGTAATGCCCTAACAAAGTGGCATTAATATTCTAATCAAAATTTTCTACAAAACTTTTATTAATCATTTTACATCACTCCTCTACAACCGTCATTGTCATCTATAATACTTAATAACTATTAAATTAAAAAGAAAAACATAGTACGATAATTTAAGGTGTGATCGTAATTTTAACAGCATCCCATCTATATATGCATATAATGAACGCGTGTTATATTTACATTTATATGCATACAAATATATACATATAAGCACATACAAACAGCGGCTTATTCAGAGGCTCATTTTGTGGCCCATTAGAAATGCAATAAAGATGCCCTAAAAAAGTATAACCAAAAAAAAAACATTTTTTTTTTAAAATATTGTTTTTAAATACATGTTATATCGTCAAGATGCACAGTGTGATGATCATCATTGATCGCACCACTTAAGCCATCACAGCGCTTATAAGATCCCAAAATAAAAATATGTAAGAAGTATATGGAAAGTGAAAAAATAAAAAAAATAACACGAGAAAATTTTACGATAACAAAGTTAGTTAAAACTTATTTTAAATACAACACTCTTATGTACCTAAAACATACGCACTACATTCATATTTAACACTGCATACAAACACTAACATTTAGATATAGGTTTTAAATATGATACAACTTAAAAAGATTTTTCTAAAAATCTTGTTGTTTTCAAGTTTTAATCCCAAAATAACAAAATGTATAGATGAAAAAAGTATATGTGATTTCAAACGGTTGTAAATTATGCTCTCAACATGCAGTTAATTGGTGAATGAAATGTAAAAAAAAAAAAATCGGGCATCTTTAATGTTATTTTGTTGCCCCTTTTGAAACTTTCTAACTTAACATTTATTTTATTATAATTTTCTTGTTTTCTCCACAAAAAAAACATAAACAGCACAAAAATTCTTTTTTTTGGATAAAGTTAACGAGTGTATATTAAAGATGACCAAATTTTTAATTTTTCAGTATAGTTTGAAGATGTACCAATGTCATACACATCTATACAAATATAAACCCATATGCATCTATAATAAAAATTAATGCGTTATATGGGGAATTTTAGGTTTTAGTGCAACCTAATAGCTATAAAGATATCAGAATTTCGAAATTCTATTTATGTTATGCATTAATAAGTATACTGCATATATTTTGTTATACATTGGTAACCTGTTATTTTGTTCTATATTTTTGAAATTTTCTGAAGTCGAATATTGTACATGTATGCACATATAAGATTTACATTAAAATGTAATAAATTTTTTCTATATAAATTATGTTGAATATTTTTTGAACTCATTAATAACCCCATACAGTTTCTTTGTAATTATAAGATGATCCCATTGAGAAATATACCAAAATATTTATTTGTTTATTTTTTTTTAACTGTTAAAAATATGAATTAGGAAAGGATCTTAAATAGATTTATTATTATTTACCTTATATTTTTAGCTAGATACTTGAAAACTTAGTTTTTGATCTGATTAAAAATTTAAAAAATTCATTCTTAAGGAATAGTAGTTAACTGCAGGACAATTTCCAGTACTCATACTCGTTAAAATTATTAATATCAATTTTAAATCAAAAGTACACTATTTGAATTATCTATTACTTATAGCTCGGATTGAATATTTTTTCAATGTAATCTTGATTTGCTTGCTTTTTGTTTTTGGGCGAAAAATGGTCGCAATTTCAGATCTGACGATTACCCACAACGAAAATTTTATGCACACCATTCTACTCTCTGCTTTATAAGACAATGTAAGTGATTCACATTTATCTAAACCGTTATATAGTAGCTTTGTTATATTTATTCTCATTATTTTTCAAAAAGAATGTTAGTTTGCAAAGTGTGTGTACATAGTTGTATTTCATAATTTCATGATTCAATATTTTTGTTGTGACTTAACTGAAGATGGTATTTTATTAAATTCTTTAACGTACTCGCTATATATGTTGAGATTACTGCTTCTTGTTCTAAAATCATCTGCTTGTCTAGTATTGTAATTATTCACTTGAGTTCCTTGGAATAGAGTGGAGTTGCTAATTATATGTTTGTTGTTGTTTATGATGCTAAAGTAAATTAGATCGTTTTACTGCGGTTGGCAACTCATTAGAACCTTGTTTATATACCTCATTTTTTTTCTACATTTTTTGGCGGCAGTATCTTTATGCAAACTGAGGTCTTTATCTAGTATTATGGCTATTTACTTGTACCTATTAACCTTTTCTGTTTTAATATCAATTAGATTTCAGACTTAGGTTTATTTGATCTGGTCCTTTTGTTAATATATATTTTAAATTCAATCCATATTCCATTAAAGTAAACATTAAATAATTTTATAATCATTTTCAGAATACACAATAGTTAAATAATCCGCATACAATATTTACTTCTAACATTTAAGACAAACCTTAACGTTAACTCTATTGTAGCATTTATACATTTATTGAATATGCCAGTCAAGTATATGATCTCATTTAGACAGATTCACTTGTATTATACTGAGTCAATTATAAAGCGTTCTCTCCGCCTTGCGCTAGTTCATTTCCCTTGAGATGATCCTATACGCTTACCTAGTTAAGGCAGTATTTATTTAATACAGTTAGAAAGTTTGAACTTTTATGTATAACACGGTAATATGGCTTAACAACAATAGTTCTTAGTGCACGAATTCAAGTAGTTCGGGATAACAACACCTAGAAATAAACAAACTATTAGAGGATCTTAAAAAAATATTAAATTACTTTAAACTTCATTAATTCTTAAATTTCAACTTATTTCTGAAAATCCTTTCCAAATACCAACAAGGGTCACAAATATTTAAACTGCGTACGTAGTAAGCGGTAATTTTCAATATTATTTAAAGGATCTGCTACTTGAATTATCTTCGATATTCTTTAGGAACCTCATACCTAATTAAATTTAAAAAAAATTAAAATTAGTTTTCATTCTATCCAGAGCAAAAAAAATGTATTTTTCGTTGAAAAATTTTTTGGTTTTTTTTTTTAATTACTTTTTATGAAAAACTAATAAACCAAATGAAAACTCCAATTGTTTTAAATCATAAATTTGTAAAAAATAAAACATAATCTTAAAAATAAAGGTTGAACTGCATTAGTTTTACTTGAAAAATTTTTGATTAGATATTTTATTTTTTTCTCTCATATAGCTCTGCTAATACATAAATTTTTGATTGATCATTGCTTTGAACTGCGTTAAATCTTAACTTCATTTATTTTGTTAAATTATTGAGAAAACACCCATGGACGAAAAGAATAAGTAAAAAAAACAAAAATTTAGGTACACAAAATCAATAACATAAAATTTCCATCATCATCACGTTCATCAACATCACCATCACTTGCTATGGACAAAAAAAACACGAAAAAAAAATTAACTAAATAAAATGTGTAGTTCTTTTTGCAAACATTAAGATATTCGAGAATTGTAGATTTTAGATTTCAAGAACGGGAGGGCAATGCACCTCGAACCATTATTAGTACAAGCCCGAGACCTATTTTTCCAATAAATCCAAACACCTTGTGAGAGTCAATTCCGGTTAGCTCGTCCCACTCAAAGTCACTCAAAAATTCTCTTTTTCTAACCAGATCTCCACACTCCAGATGAAAGTGAATCGAGATATATTGCAAGGTAAATTCACCATTACTT